GTTGCTCACTATTATTTTTTATTAGACTTACAAACTTAGTTTCAGTGATGTCATATTGTTCTTTCATTTGGCCGGAATAGCAAGCTGCTTTCGATCTGTACACGTAAGCCATTTAATTTGTGTATTACACAAATCTTTCCACGAAACAGACAGTTTTAAGTGCAAAAGGTGCGAAAGTGCAGAATCACTCCAGCATCCCCTTAACGCCAGAAGTATCGAACGGTCATTTCTATCTCGTAGATTAATTCTTGTATAAAAAATAGGATTCTGAAATCAAATAATCGATGTACAGTCATAAAATTTCAGACTCCTTCGTTTTATACAATAGGGGGCTAATCTACAAATAAGAAATGGTCAGAAATGAGAAAGCACCGCTCGGTGTTTCTAGGGTCGAGCGGTACGAAATCCTCTTCAACAGTCCTCGTAGGTGGACGAAAAGAAATACAAATTAAGAAGCTAAGGGCAAAGTATAAATAGAGGAAAGTCCTCTATTATGAGACAGGATTCTAATACAAGATAGTAGGTTTCTAACGTCCAAATTCAATCACAAATCTTTTTTCGCAACGATCAATTGTCCGCTAAACAGATTTCACGCCAAGGGCAATAAATTCATGGTGGAACCAACAGATGACACATATTAATTTTGCAGAAAGTCCGCCATCTCATATTGGGAGCCTATCCCATAATAGGAGACTTTCCTTGAAGTTTGAAGATCAGAAGACACGGGCACACTGTAGCCACTAAGGCCCGGCTTTTTATTTTCCGGTTAACTGTTAATGTTAGCCTAAGAGCCCTGCAGCGACCGTCCAGAAACGGACAAAAGAAATGTTGAACGTGGGGCGCCGACTGATGACGATAATACACGGACATAAATAGTCCTCGCGTCCTTTAAAGCCGGTGAAAGCCATTCATCGATTTTTGGCCAAACGAGCGAGAGCCTCCCGTCTGGGCCCGGACTAGGCGTAATTACCTTTCTCAGGGATTAGTCGCGTTTACGGGAAACTAGAGACCCTACCGGCAATCGCGAGGGGGAGCGGCGTCTCGCGTTTATCTCCCGATCTCGTCTCGCTCCAAAATGATAATTCGCTCTAAGCGACTCGAGTCCAACGCTCCATAAAACGGAGAGAGAGAGGTGTTTCGTAATCGCGATAATCCTCGCGCGTCGCGCGATCCCGCTTCAAACGGGCGCGTTCGCTCGTCGAGAGCGCCTTCCGGATAACCGGCCGTCTAGCAGATAACACACCGTGCGTCCGTCGACAATTCCGGGACGGCCCCGTGTAATCCCGGCGAGATCAATCGAGTGGCTATAACGCGCCTGACTTGGCGATTAATCTCAACGAGGAAGAAAAAGGGGGAGAGCTCAACGAGCAGCACACGAGGGCCTCCGTGTACAGACGCCGTAGACGAGATATTAGAAATCGCCGATTAAACTCGGCCGTCGTCGCCAGGCGGGGGGGAGGGGGTTACGGTGAGCGGCGATTCCCCGCTGTGTCGCTCGTCGTCGCGCCAGAGTAAACAGACCGTCCGCGGCGTCGGAATTCGTAGTCATTCCGACTTTTCGCTCCCTGTTTACGTGCCCCGCTCGCTCGCTGGCGCGCCGTACGACGGCTCGGGGCGTAAGCAAAACACGAGCTTCGTCCGAATCCGCGACACGGTGGGGGGGGGGGGGCGTTCGAGCAAAACAGTCGCGGAGCTACGTCGCCGACGGAGAGATGAAAAAAGAGGCTCCCTGGGGCCACTGGGCAAAGCGTGTCTCGCGGAATTGCGACGATCGTCATCGTCGTCGTCGTCGTCGTCGTAATCGACGGCAGCTCCGGAACGTATCGGTAGGGGCTCCGGGTGATCTCGAGCGAGAGCGAAGCGCTCGGAGGATCCTCCCGGGAGGGGGGGACGCGCGGCGGAGGAGGAGCGGAGATAAATAAGAGGGAGGGACAGGCGTGTATCTTTCGGCTGCGGTTTCGCCGGTTCCCCTCGGCGACGACGCGGACGAGACGGAAAGAGAGACGCAGAGAGACGGAGGAGACGCACGCGAATGAAATCGCACGAAGGCCCCGCTCGTCGTTTCCGCTCGCCGTGTGCGTTCCGTGCGGCATACGAAAGTGCGCTCGCCACCGCCGGCGGGCGGGCGGGCGGGGGGAGGGAGGGGCGTATCGATTCGGACAAAACAATTGTGTGGCCAAGTCGCGGGGCCGTCGTCGTCGGTCGTGGCGAGCGCCGAGGTTACACTTGTACGCACTTGGTGCCGAGGCCGTGTAGAGCCGCCGTGTGGAGAGTCTTTAGTCACCGCCCAGCTCTCGGTTGTCCTCGTCCTCGTCGTCGTCGTTACGGTCGTCGTCGTCGTCGTCGTCGTTGTCGTAATCGCAATAGCAAGCGCAAAGAAGAGAGACACGCTGTACAGAGTTTGTCCTACCGTATGGGGTAACACTCCCGCGTCGCTGTCATGCCTCCACGTCGTGTTGTTGCCGTGTACGTGTCACGCGCGCGTGTACATGCGGGCGCGCGCGCGCGCGCGCGCGCTCGATCGGTGGTGTGTGCCGTACGTGTGTGTGTGTGCGCGCGCGCGTCTGTGCACGAGAGCGGCCGTAGAAGCGCGGAGAGCAGAAGCCACGGCGATATCGAGACCGCGGGCTGCGGAGAGACACACACGCGCGCGACGTAGTATGTAACGCGACACACGCGCACACCGTGGCCCGAGGAGCGTCACGGAGGCGGAGACACTCGCGTGCACGACGCACGTCACGCACGCACACGCGTGTCGTACGCACGCACGCGCGCGCGACGGTACTTAATCGCGCGCGATACAACACTCTCTCTTTCCCCGCCCCGCTCTAGAGCGCGCGCATCACGCTCGCTCGCTCTCGCGAACCTCGGGAGCGAAACAGCCCGAAACACCACCGCGAAAAAGGTCTTTCCGCGCGCCTCCGACACGACACCTCCTCGTCCGACGACGGCGCACCACGAACTGAATCCTAACCGACTGAGCAGGACTCTGAAACGCGGCGCGGCGCGGCGCGGCGCGGCGCGGCGCGGCGCGACGGCCCGAGTGGAGGGGATGCCGGCCGCAATGTGGGGGAACTATCATTCCCGTGGTGAGACCAACGGTCGGCGAGGGGCGCCGGGGGCGCGAGGGGGACGCGCTCGCAGGTGCGGACGCGCGGCGTCAAGTGCCACGCGCGATCTCGAGGACCTTCGAGCCGCGTTGCGAGAGGAGCACGCGGGGATTACGCGAACGCGGCTCAAGTTTATGCAATTTATAACGGAAATACGTGCACTCGTGCAAACCGTGTTTACCTCTGCAAGGAAAAGTGTAACGCAAACGCGCGCTCGTCGCGATCTCACGTATTTTCCTCCCGCACACTGTGGACACACGGTCCGCTAGAGTTCGGACAATCGAGTCATCCGACTTATCTCCAGTTTAGACTACTCGGACAGTGCGGGCGATCCTAATGTCTGAATCATCGCATTTAATTTCAACTAAAAGTCAAACCGAAAACTAATCGTTAGGTCCGCTTTTTCACGCTAAAAAGAATCTTTCCATATCGTTCGACATCAAAAGAAGCCTACCATCTCTGCACACGCGGTACTAATTGATATTCCTTTGTCAAAGATATGTTTCAATTTACCTCTGGCGCGCGACGGTTAAGAATTTTTTAAATATATCAGATATTATATTCGGAATGTTTTTATTGTGTCCGTGCGGCTATGAAACGCAGAACACCACGCGACCTTTTCACGCATATGATAAAGGTAATTTCAATAAATTTGTATACAATGCTCCAGATATTGCAAGATGATCGTAATATTGAATTCGCGCACCCTCCGCCGTTCCTCAAAGACTGCGCAAGACGCGCATGTCATAGGAAAATGACACGTCGACCCCTTCGATCTTTGCGGTCCCGAACACGTGGCGTCCGCCATGTCTTTGGTCCAAATCCAGCAGCGTATGTGCGCGTACTCGTCAAACTACGCTACTACACGTACAACTTTTTTCTCATTGGCTTGACCAAATCAATGTCGGATGCGCAGAAGGGATCGAGGCAAAACGAAACAAATAACAAAGTGAGCAATTGAGCATACTATGTTATACTATGGCAGAGTTGAGAAAGTTACTTTATAAAAGTATCTATAGTTACAATTACAAGTTAACAATTCTGAAAAGTAACGCGTTACAGTTACTCAAAAAGTAACGAATCGGTACTTTGCAGTTACTTTCTTGCGATGAAAATAAAAATATTGAATTTGCATTTGAATTGCAAATTGCGCCGATAATGGCGTTTATGCATTAATGCAAGGCCTACTGGGATCTGTGGAGGTTTAAAAAATATATAAAGTAACTATTAACGTAACTATTAAATTAGTTACCAGCTTAACTCAGTAACATTTTTTCGATACGTATAACTTAACTCAGTTACATTTTTTCGATAACTATTGTAGTAACTAATTTAATAGCTACTTTATATATTTTTTAAACCTCCACAGATCCCATTAGGTCTTGCATTTGCACATAAACGCTTTTATCCACACTTTATAAATCAAACGCAGATTGATATTTTTATTTTCATTGCAAGAAAGTAACCGCAAAGTAACGATTCGTTACTTTTCGAGTAACGCGTTACCTTTCAGAATTGGTAACTTGTAACTGTAACTAGTTATATTTTTAGCGAAAAAAATGCAACTGTAACTAGATACTTTCATAAAGTAACTTTCCCAACCCCGAAAAATGGTATCGTGTGGCGTAGCTTCGTTACAAGTAACGAGTTACTTCCCAACCCTGTACTACGGTTATACTACGCCCATATCGCGCTGTAACTTCCGTTACTTTTCCGTCGATCGGCGGCCCGTCGTTTGGTCAGACACGTCGCCGTTTGTAGAATTTTAGGACAAGGTGTTTAACGACTTTGATAGCGGGTAAATTTAACGATACTCGCCCCGATACTCGTGGGAACCGAGCGGCGAGATCGCTAGAAAGTAGAATACCGTATACGCGCAAAAGCGACATTGCGCCCCCCGGCCGAATTGTGGCGGCGCAACAATTGGAACAGACGCTGCAAACTCCCTTATCCGAGTTATTACCGAAATATATCTCCACCCGATATGCACGTGTATATTTTCCATCAGTATGACGCAAATAACGCGCCACACAATCGTTCCATTGTCAGGCAGGCAACGTTACCGAATGCGAAACGCCACAAATCGCATGCAACGCGCCAGTTAATCGTAAATTAATTAACAGGGGGTGCGCAAATTATTATTATTATTATTATTAGCGATTTCTCAATTAGTGCCATTTCATTTTCCCATCCCGGCGTCCTCCATATTAATTTGAAGTCGTCATTTTCCTACGTTAAGTGATACCGTTCCGATCGAATCATTTATTTTGTCCCATTCGAAGCGTATGTATGTACGTGAAAGCCGTTCGGCAGTTAATAGATGACGGGGGACGAGCTGAAAATCGATCCCGATCGCGCGAAAAGAATTAAACCGAACGGTCAATTACGGAAATTATTCACTCCGAAAATAAAGATGCCCGCGTGTATTTATAATCGATTTCGAAGTGGAACGCATTTTCAGGTCAATCTTTAAGCTACCGGTTCGAGTTACGAATGTGCGAGCTCCAGAATAGATACTTGACATTTTCAAAGTTATATCGAAGTCCATTATCCGGTAGTCGTTTTAGATGACATAAAAAATTTCGCGACTTTAAAAGTTTACCCATGAAATATTCCGCGGCATGGAATAATTCGCGAAACGGGCACCGCGCACAAATGCGAAATTTTAGGGACGGCATGAAAGAATCAGTCGTCTTGCCTCGCGCGTGAAACGCTATGCTGCTTAACGCGCGAATAAATGCATTCTTTATTTATCACCGGGATCGAAACCCATTGCTGGCGGTAGCTACACCGGCGATATTACGCGAATGAATCTCGTGTAACAGTGAGTTATGTTACTATATTATTACTCGTATCGTACGCGAAGAACTTAACAACGAGCCGGACTGGCGCTCTAAACTAGATCCCGAAATTTCAAAGACTGTTTTATTTTAAACAACGCGAAACCGTGTCTTCAAATAGACCTCGCGATTACAGACACGTTTCGCCATGGACATAGGGGATGCTGGGGTGATTCTGCACTTTTTGCACCTTTTGCTCCTAGAACTGTCAATTCAACAAGACATTTGTGTAATATACAAATTATGCGGCTTTTGTGTACAGACCGATAGTGTTCCACTATTCGGACTAAATCGGAGAACAGCATGGCATCATTGAAATTATGTTTAGAAGCCAAAAAAGAAATCTACCCGGTTAGTAAAATGTTAGCAGATTGGCAGCAGATTTATCAGAAGCCCACGACAAAACCATAGCCATCCGCATTTGGCAACAGAGTCTGTAAAACATACGCTGTCAACAGATTGTCGGCAGAAACCGAGCAGGTCAAGTTATGTGAGCAGATTTTGTTGTATTTCTGCTGATACGCTGGCGACACGTGTCGAATATATCAGTTCCTGTATGCAATCCGCAGTCTTTCTGCCTCCGACATTTGTAGTGGGCATTTGACGAAATCTGTTCTGACAGACTTGGCTGTCTGGGTAGATTCAGAAAGTTTGGAGGCTTTGCATTCGTTTTTTCTTTTAACAATACGAACCGTTTCTTCGGATAGACTTCGCGATTACAGACACGTGTCGCATTGTAGATAAGAAAACTAAAAGTGAGAAACTCTGGCGCTCCGCAATAGATCTGGAAATGTAAAAAGCGACGCAGTCTTGGTTTCAAATAACACGAAACCGCTACTTCGAAGAGATCTCGCGGTTACAGACACGCGTCGCATTGGAGAAGACTAAAAGCGAACAACACTGGCGCTTCGCGATAGATTCGAAAATTTAAAAGTGCGTGCAGCCTTTTGTTTTAAATATAACACGAAACCGCCGCGTCGAGGAGACTCCGCGATTAGACGCGTATCGCATCTGGCCAACTTTGGGATTCGAAGGGTCTCTCGCGAGCTTCCAACCCCACGAATGTACAGCCCTGGGACGCCACGGGGCTTAATATCTACGAGGGTAACAGAGAGGAAGGAAGATAGGGGCGATCTTACGGGAGGGAGTGCTGATGCTGAAGCCATAAGCGCGACGAAGGGACGCGTCGGATGGAAGAGAGAAGAAAAAGAGGGAGGGGGGAGGAGAAAAAGGTAGGACCTACTCTGGGGAAGAGAGAAAATATGTGAGTGAGTGAGTGAGTGAGTGAGAGCTGCATCGGGCGAGGGCCCCTTCCTCCCAAAGGCCGCACCCACACGGGTCCACCGCAAGCCGAGGAACTCGCTGACACAGCCCTGGAGGAAGCCGAGTAAACACACTCCGCGGCGCGCCCGTGCGCGCGAAGGATGCCGCGAAGATACCGCGAGGAGGCGGCTATTTGAAATCGCTATCGTTCCGACGAGATTAGATTCTCGTGGCCGTGGCACGCCGGCGCGATTTCTACCCGCGGCTGCCTGGACGCCGGGCGACTGGGAGCTTCTCTGAAATTACATTGATTCCCGATCCCCGATCTTTCGCTTCGCGCGATTAACGTCGCGTCCCGGGAGACGGTCAGCGCGGCGCCTCTTTCCCGTAGGCCGCCGCGAGAATAACGACGGTCACGTATAATAGGGAAGCGGGGGGTCAATTCTGTATCCTACGCTTATACAGCGAAGATGCTAAAAGTGAGTAGCCTGGTCTCGTTCTAACTGTTACCTTAGAAAGAGACAGAGCCGCTCATTTTTCAACATTTTCAGTATATTGTAAGATATATAGATTTGACGCCCACAGGGGGGCTCAGTTCGGTATCTCGCGACATAGTGAAAATGCTAAAAGTGGGCGGCTTTGCCTCCTTTTAAAGGGACAGTTAGAAAGAGACAAGGCTATTCACCGTTAGCATTTTTCACTATATTGTAAGATATAGTGAGGCTTCGATGCCCGGATCAGGTAGATGGGAGGAAGGAGCGAGTTCCCGAAGAGAAAACGAGCGCGACTCTCTCGAGCTGAATAAGACACCTCTAAGGATACTACCAAAATGTACACGCACCGGCATAAATGCTGTCCCTATCCTTGTGAGGTGCACGCACACAACTAGAGTCCCTGTAGTTGTGTGCGTGCACCTCACAAGGATA